TTTAACCATTGTGAGATTGTGAAAGTGATTTAGTTTGTCACCCACTTACAATTGCAAAAGTTAGTCAGAAAACCACTAAAGGACCATAGAATTTTGAAGTTAGTAGACCAGACAAGGTTTTTGTTTCTTCAGGTAATGAAAAGTTTCATGCCCACGTGCTATAATTGATCTTCAGGGGGCAATGTAACCACAAACCTTTTCCAGTATTCTGTGAACTAAATTTAGATAGCACCAATGTCCTTTCATGCATAGGTAGACTTATCGATCACACAAGTGACATGACAGATCCCAGCAACAGAATATTCCATTGTGGAATTTATGCTGTGCATTTAAACTTACAGTTATAAAGTATTGTTCAAAAAAGTTACAAAAGATCATTTGATAAGCACATTGCATAACTCATTCAATTACAAAATAAGTTTACATTATTACAATGTAAAAGCAAAACCATTGATAATAGCACTGTAAAAATATTTTCAATTTACAAGCTGTGGAATTGAATTAGAACAGTGCAATTAACTTTCCTTTTGTACTGAAATAATCAATTATTAACGGTTCTAATTAAAAATGAATCAAAATGTAATTCAATTGAATTCAATGTACTCTCACCTTCTAGACTTTACAGCTAATTCTGTAAAGTCTTCACATCCTGTCAATGACTCAGTTTTTCTGGTAATTCTATAAGTATACTGTTGTTAACAAGTCCTGTAAGTTTCAGTAACCTCATTCACCCACTCCCAACAGTAGCATTTGGTTACAAGTGCCAGAACTCTTTATCTAAAGTGCTGCCTTTCAGAGCCCACTGATTAATAATTCTAGGTGATAAGCTCAGGTGTTACACTGAAGGGGGCTGTCTGAGCAACAGCTTCAAAAGTAGATAAAGCATAAAACAAGATCTGGATTGGTTTCAGAAGCTAGTAACTGATACCTTTTTACAAAATTGAAGTGCGACAAGAATCCAGTATGTACAAAGAAAACTACACCTTTACTTAAAACATTTCATTTCAAAACAAATAACACTGCCAAACAGTTGTGTGGATAGGAAGCCCTTTTCTTCAGGACACTTATATTATAGTGCACACAAGTGAATGTTTGCTGCTCTAAATTGTACTGATTATGCTTTAGAATGATTTTGTAAAAAAATGATACAGCACATATTTGTTAAGTATTAATATATCATTGCATAAGGCAACAAGGCTGCAGTCTGGTTCTGTTACTTGACAAGTCGTCCCTGTGAGACCTGGAACTGTAACTACTACATAATACNTTTTTTATAGTAATTTCAAAGACGATCAATGGCTTTGTTATTGTAGGAAAGGTGAGGAACTGACAACAACAGTGAGGAATGATTTTCATAGAATTAAAAACATTATATGTGTATGAGCCAAAGTGCAGCACTACATATATGATAGGGATGTGCATAATCCATTTCAATAAGTGGTAATATAGCTTGGTTAATGGTTAATTTTTGCTATGTTACACATTTTCTGATTAAAACATTTAATTTTACAAAAAGAGTAAAGGATTATTTAGGTAAAACCCTATCGCTTTTTGATAATTTATTAGATTGTAGCTTCCATTAAAATTATTTCACTAACATTTTCTTGCCTAATGCTGCCTGTCCCTTAAAGAATGATTGTTCAGTCTGAATTACTTAGTGAGATATCCTTAATATCATTGTTGCAAAACATATGAAGCTTATTTCTCGTTCTTATTTAATAATACAACAATACTTGCAGTTGATATAGTGCCTTAGAGACAATTCAAAGCACTTCACAGGATATACTGTAAAGTGGATTGATTATGTATTTTGTGGATGAACTCTGGCAGCTAGTTTGCACACAGCAGTGTCCCACAAACAGCCATGGCATGAGAGACCAATTTGTGTTTGGGGGGGTTTGTTGGCTGGGTCGCCAGGAGAAACTAGCTTCTCTTTTCAAATAGTGCCTTGGGATCTTTAATTTCCACCTGAACAGGGCCTCGATTTAACGTCTCATCCAAAGGATGGCACCTCCGACAATGCAACACAATCCCAACACTGCAATAGAGCATCAGCTTAGATTATATGATTCCAAGTTCTGACATGGGGCTTCAATCCACAACCTTCTGACTCAGAGAGACAGTAATACAAATGCTGACACACAATTGCCACAGAAATGTTCAGTTTTAGTTGATTTAAATTCCAACTCAATTGCAGACTTGTCTCTCGCCGAACTGTGCCTAAAATTGTCGAAAATTATTTAAGCAGGGGAAGAGGGTGCATTCCATTTCCAGGCTCAGGGTAATTTCCATGTGTAGGTGGCATACATATTTGGAACTATCACTGGTTTGGATACTCTTAAGTGTTATGATGGATTTTGAGGAGTGCCAGGGCTGTGGCATTTGAAAAGAGTTTAAAAGGAGAAACTGAAGGAGTGAGAGAAAGAGGTGAACTGGTGATCATTTTGCGGAACTCAATGAATACTGGGAATCTTCCGACAGGCTTGAAATGGAAACATTTATTTTTTATATTTGAGAAGGTCACAAATATCAAATACAAAACTTGCACATATAGCGCCCTCAACGCTGGGCGGCATCTCAGAGCGCTTAACAATGGAGGTGGAAAAGTAGAGTTGAGTGTCATCCGCATACATGTGGCAGTTAACCCCGTGTCTGCGGATGACATCATCGAGAGGGCGCATATAGATGAAGAAGAAAAAGGGACCAAGAATTGATCCTTGGGGTGAAGTGCGAAGAAAAGTCACTTGCAGAAATGTAGTACTGGCGTAGGACTCGAACTAAGCGAGTGTGGTCCCACTGAGGTGGATAATGGAGAACAGGCGATGTAGGAGGATGGCGTGATCGACGGTGTTGAGCGTGCCGACACGCGGCAAAGCACAGACTCATGAGCCTGACCTCTAGAATCAGAAATAAAATAGAAGAAGCTTTAAGTAATCTGATGATAGTCAATACAGCTTCAGAAAATTTGACAACCTCTTAAACCTTTTTAAGGATTTAATAATATTAATCCTTACATTTGATATAGTTTAATATGCAAATTGATGTAGGGAAACTTCATCTTCCAATGTCCTGGGTTTCTAAAAGCTTTTGATAAGGTGCCACATGAGTGACTCTTTTTAGAAGTTACAGGGTAATGCTGTTAGAAGACACCAGCTTATAAGGCAGGTTTGCTTACAGGGCTTTTTAGCTTTTTAAGTTAGCATCCCAAATGCTAAAAAAAGGCCAACTTCCAAATTACAACAAAAAAGCAACTTGTATTTATACAGCGTCCCTCATGCAGGGCAGCTTCCCAGGGCACGACACCAGCTGGGGGTCGTTGGGGGGTTGTTCCAGAGCTTTAGGGCGTGTTAAATAAATTACCACCACAGACTCACTTCCTATGTGGTACGCATGTGCGATGGAAGAGGAAAGTGACAATAATGTCGCTTATTACGAGTTGTGCATTCACAGTATCTGTATGACTTGAAAATCGGCTATTTTTCTGCACTTTGTTATACTGCTGGACCTATGATATTGGACCAAAGTGACCTTATAATGGTTTGCTCTGTAATCTTAATGAGTGCCAAGGTTAGGACATGGATACATATTAGTAACAGCTACAATAGAACCTCAATTATCTTCCATTTTGTGAAAGAACAATAACATTTATATAGCGCCCTTTACTCAGGATAGCATCTTGGAGCCTTGGAGGAAAGATAATCACCTCACTGTGCCCTCACTCTGTTCTCATTGTGACAATGAAAAAAATGTTTTGTTTTGTTCTTACCAGGTAAAGCTCTTGCAAAAATTATATTTATTAATAACTTTTTAAGGTGGAAAGTTAATGGTATAAGTTATTCTCAACAACAACAAAATAAATTTTTATAGTGCCTTTCACATTGGGAGGACGTCCCAAGGCGCTGTACAATCAATGTTTCAGACCCGAGCTGGGGATCAGGATCGGGGAGGATGGAGGGCCGAGGGGGAAGGAGGGTGATCGAAGGCACAGTCGAAGAGGAGGGTCTTAGACAGGTCTTGAAGGAGGCAAGGGAGGGACAAGGCAGAGGGACTGCGGAATGGAATTCCAGATGGTGGGGGCAGAGTGGCAGAAGGTCTGCCCACCAATGGTGGGATGGGTGAGGTGGGGAAAATGAAGCAGGCTGGAGCCCGCTGAGCGGAAGGACTGGACAGGTTGGTAGGGGGTTAGGAGGTCGCAGAGGTAAGGGGGAGCAAGACCATGGAGAGCTTGAAGGTGAGAACTTGAGCTGTATCCTCCATGTGATGGGAAGCCAGTGGAGTCGGCCGAGGATGGGGATGATAGGGTCACAGAGCCTGGTGCGGGAGAGGACACGGGCTGCGGAGTTCTGGATTATCTGCAGCCTATCGAGGGAGGAGGTGGGGAGGCCGACAAGCAGGGAGTTTGTGTAATTGAGCTTGGAAGTTATAAAAGCATGTATGAGGGTCTCGGCGGCCGGATGTGTGAGACAGCAGCAGAACCTGGCGATGTTGCGGAGGTGGGGGAAGGCAAAGCGGGTCATGACATGGATGTGGGGTAGAAAGGATAGTTGAGGGTCAAATAAGACGCCATAGTTCAAATCATTATAACTGCTTTATAGCACAGAATCAAATGTATTTTTCTTGAGTGAAACAAATTGGATCAACTTATCAAAATTTAAAATGTAAAACTAGCTCATAATCTAGACTGACACAAAAGTACAGAACTGAACAGGTGCTATTTATTGGACCAGTCATCCTTACAATTGATGTGCTAGAAGACAACCCTATCTATTAAAACTACCTAAAACATTGGGGGGTGGGGCGGGGGACAGGGCACACAAAAGACCCTAAGGATAGATTTCACTCAGTCCTTTTTTCTTATTGAGCTAATCCGTATAACAATTGTTCAGTACAGCACTGAGTATTTTATTCTAGATTTTCAAAGTATGTTATCACCTAATAATTGCTGTGCAAGATACGATATCGTGGTCTTGGGTGTCTAATTCTGTTTTCGCACATTTCAGCCTTTAAACGAGAAACCGTTTATTCAGAAGCTGTTTCGACCACTCAGTCCAGATGGACAACCACACAGCCTTGGTGACTTGTTAAAAGAAGTGTTTCCTGCTGCTGTACCTTCTGACGGTAAGATTGTGATAACTTCAACAATCAAATAATTAATTCAGCATGTTGGATAGGTTTCTCATTTTACAAAATAAAAATCAAAAAATGGCATTTATATTGCGCCTTTCACATCAGGTGGAAGTCCCAATGATCTATTGATATTTGGATTTTATTTTGAATTATTAGTTTTAAATTGCAACATAACTTATTCTTCACCCTTGCTAACAATTGATTATTACAAGTGGAACATGAAAATCCTTAATTAAAATCTTCATTGCCAATTGCAGTCATGAAACCAAATCACTACAGTGTGAAAAGTTATATTCAGGATTCCGTTACACAAGTTCTCTTACCACTAAAGAAAATTTGATTTGATTTCTTATTGCTTTCTATCAAAGCAAGGTGATTTTTCTTATTAAAAACCTATATTTTAGTACTCTTATAAATTGTAGAGCCAACCATTTTCTCTCAACACAATTAAGCCTCCAGGTCAAAACAGTTTGTGTCGTGCTTCATTTATATTGCAGTTGATGTTGACTGCTGCCAATTTTGTGCAATAGAAATGAATCTTTGAGAGCATTGATTTGATTCCAAACCCGCTCATGAAACAACCTCCAGGAATTGCAAGTAATGTCATCAGTGCTTAACGTTTAAGCAATAGTGCTCAAACAGTCATTAATTTGAGCTGAGTTTGTACAAATGGTGAGAATCTTGAAGATTTCATTAATATTGAAACGTCGTTAATATTGCTGCTAATCAGAGAATTGATAACTGTTTTGCTGAGAAACATTTTTTTAAAAATCCAGTCAATTTATTGCCACTTTTTGGTTTCTCTATCTGTTTTTGTATTTATTTTTATTTCCTGTTTTCTTATTTTTTTGTTCAAATGCAATAAGGGAATTTGATGACTGCTCTGCAATAGCCTTGTACCTTGAGCATTTGCACAAAGGACCCCTGTTTCTAATTGCTTAAAATGAAAATAAGGCTTATTGCATACTAACTATCTCACTAATCAGGGCTGCCATTTCTCAAACTTTGAGATCACTGAAACATAATGTCTTAGCTTCAGCTGCAAATCTTCCCATTCATTGAAACTAAATGGAGAGGGTGGAGAGAAGTACAGAAAGCAGGAAACTTGAAGTGTCGATGTTATATTTCATTTTCTAGCCTTTGAACTTTCTTGAATACGGCCACCCTTTTGAAGTCTTTTTGCCTCTGGAGTGCTTTATTCTATAATTTGAAGAAGTATTTCTTTAAATCTTTCCCAGACATAAATAGATTTCCTCATCAGTTTTAGTTCCTTTTCATAATTCTTGAGTCGGGCCCCATATTTGTACATGTCTGTACTTCTAATGTTAACATTAAGTTTTGTCCTTCCAATTGAACTCTGTTGAAATCTACACTTATAAAGCTTTACAAAGCGGTAATTTTACTTTTATGGGTTTATTTCTAACAAACCATGTAAAAGTGGCTATCTTCAAATTGTTTCAAATTAAGATGGATATTAACATAATATAACAACAGCGACTTGCATTTATATAGCGCCCCTCAGGTAGGGTGGCGTCCCAGAGCACTTTTTGGTATGTAAGTACCAAAGAGGGAGTATTATTTAAGATAAACCTCTGATCATTGCACTAATATTCCTGGTCCATGCAGGTACTTAGCCCTGTTCTATATCCAACATGTCTCTCTGTAGGTTTCACTTAAAATTGTGATACATTTTAAACACTAGACCTGTTTAGTTTCAGTACAAAGATTTTTTACATAGAATGTACAGCACGAAAACAGGCAACTAGGACTAAATAGTGCATGTCGGCGTTTATACTCCACCGAGTCTTCGCCCATTTCTGACACCCTCCCATACTCTTCTACTCCCCTATCCTTCACTTGATGATTGAGTACATCTGCGTCAACCATTGCTTCAGGCAGCAAGTTTCACAGTCTCCCTACGCCCTGCGTGAAATAGTTCTTCTTAAATTATCTTTTGCGTCCCCTAGTCACTATCTTATATTTGTTTCCCCGGTTATGGACTCCCCAACCAGGGGAAAGTCTATTTATGTTAAACTTATCAAACCCTTTATAATTTTAAACATCTCTATTAGGTCCCCCATTAAAGATCTCTTTTATAATGAAAACAGGTCAATCCTGAACTTGTATTGATTTTGCATTTTTCGACTATTTGACTGATGTTTGGATTTGGTCTAGATTTAAGATAACATAAAATGTAGGAGCAGGAGTAGGCCATTTGGCCCTTCGAGCCTGCCCCGCCATTCAATCATGGCTGATCTTCTAATCTAACTCCAGATAATAACCCGACCCTGCCTTATCCCCATATCCCTTAATCCCTTTTGCAATAAGAAATCTATCTATCTCAGTCTTGAATATGTTCAAGGACTGAGCTTCAACAGCCCTTTGGGGTAGTGAGTTCCATACATTCACCACCCTTTGAGTGAAGAAGTTCTTCCTCAACTCAGTGTGAAAGGGCTGGCCTCTGATTTTAAGGTTGGGACCCCTGGTTTTAGTTTCTCCAACCAGGGGAAACAATCTCCCACTATCTACTCTTTGATGATCTTATAGGTTTCTATAAGATCCCCTCTAATTCTTCTATATTCTGGAGAATATAGGCCCAAATTGGTCAGCCTATCCTCGTAACTCATCCCCTTCATCCTTAGTACTAACCTAGTAAATCTACGCTGCACCCCCTCCAAGGCAAGTACATCCTTCCTTAAATAAGGAGACCAAAACTGGATGCAGTATTCCAGGTGTGGTCTCACCAGGGCCCTATACAGTTGCAGCAAGACTTCCCTACTCTTACACTCTAATCCTTTCATAATGAATGCTAACTTACCGTTCGCCTTCCTAATTCCTTGCTGCGCCTGCAGACTAACTTTCTGTAATTGGTGTACAAGGACACCCAAGTCCCTCTGGACGCTAACACATTTCAATCTCTCCCCTTCTTAAAAAATAACCTGCTCTACTGTTTTTGCTACCTAGGTAGATGACTTAGCACTTCCCTACATTATACTTCATCTGCCACCTACCTGCCCAATCACCTAACCTATCTATGTCCTCGCTGCATTTTTTTAATGTCATCCTCTGTGTTGGCACTTCCTCCTAGTTTTGTGACAATCTGCAAATTTAGATATATTAGCTTCGATGTCCTCATCTAGAACGTTGATGTAAATGGTAAATAGCTGAGCCCGAAGGACTGATCCCTGTGGCACTCCACTAGTCACATCCTGCGAATCCGAAAAGGACCCATTTATCCCTACTCTTTGTTTCCTACCTGTTAACCATTCCCCAATCCATGTTAATATGCTCCCCCCAATTCCATGGGCCCTTATCTTTTGGATTACCCTTTTATGCGGCACCTTATCAAATGCCTTCTGGAAGTCCAAATAGACCACATCCACTGATTCATCCTTATCTAGTTTAGTGGAAATGTCCTCAAAAAACTCTATAAGATTTGTCAAACATGACTTCCCTTTTGTAAAGCAATGTTGACTTGGCCTAATTATATTGTGCTCCCCTAAATACCGCACTACGATTTCTTGTGATTAACATGGGTGTTGATCTCTAGTTTGATGAAAAGGCTTGTGCCATTCAAACATATTCTTCGTCATAGCAGTGATATAATGCGTAGAATATTGCAATAAATCATTGAACGTGAAGCATGTTGTATGTAATGTTTTGAAATTTGTTTCTAAACAAATTAAATGGCAACATACAGTTTTGAATTATATAAAAAGGGATACTCTGCTGTTAAAATGTTGACTAATAATTTTTCAGTAAAGGAAGGCATTGCACAGATGAAAATTAGTCAAAGTTCTACCTGTTCATTTAATAAGATTAAAATAATTTACTTTATGCAATATGGTAACAGTTTTCTTTTTGAGTATACTACTTGAAACGTAATAGTAATATTCCTTCCAATTGATATAGCAGTTATAATGTCAGAATATTTCAAAGCACTTCATAAATAACTGCTGTTGTGATTCGTGACTGTGTATTTCTACGCACATACAGTCACTAATTTGCGTGCAGCAAGGACCCACAAATAGCTATAAACAACAACAAAATTACATTTGTATAGCGCCTTTAACGCCGGGAGGACGTCCCAAGAAATGCAAAACATTATATATAGTAGGTTACCAAATTAACTGGGGAATTTTGGCCAGCATGTCAGGATAAACTCCATTCTCTTTTTCAGTAGGTTATGGGGTCTTTAATGTACTTTTATTATTATTATTATTACTTGAAGAGGCAGATGGGACCAGAATTAACATCTCATCTGAATGACAGCACCTCCAACAATGTGGTGCTTCTTTAGGATGATACAAGGAAGTTTCCCAAATTATGAGCTCAAGTTCGAATCCAGAGGAGAGAATGTTTCTAACTGAGCCAATCGGCACCTATACTCTTTTCTGATGGCGACATTGTATAAAGGTTTTTCTTGTCTACTGTCTTTATTCACTATGAAAGACATCAGATATTACTGTCAGCCTAGCTCTTGCTTTGTTTAGAAAGTTTCATAAGAATGTTTTCAGCAGAGAAATAGGTAATTTAGCCCATCAAGTCTGTGCGTCTACCACTGTTTTTAATCTGTCTTCTGAGTTGATAAATTCAGACCTGTTTTAAAAAGGACAATTGAAAATAGGTTTGATTCACAATTTTAAGCAGGAGAGTCCAGGGAAAACTCCTTTTTTTAACATTACAGTTATGGCTTTTATTTTCTATCTCAGAAATGTTGGACAGTGTTTTAATAGTTGAAAAAAGGTTTTAGTACCATGTGTTCTTTCAAAATTAATTAGTTTTTCATATTTTTTTTAAATTGTAAAATTATGAATATGTTCTTGTACATTTGACACCTTGCTTTGGTTTATGAATTTTTTCACATGGTTATAAACTTAGAAATAATAATAATTCTTAATCATTACATTTGAAATACTTCTTTCTCATCTCAAAGAGCTTCACAGCATAAACTGTAAAGTGGAGTGATTGTATTTTGTAGGCAAATGCAG